GAGACCGTAGGTACCACGAGCAGGCCTGATAACTGAAGGCTCTACCTCCATAGTACATTTAGAGACTGTACCACGAGCAGGCCTGATAACTGAAGGCTCTACCTCCATAGTACATTTAGAGACTGTACCACGAGCAGGCTGATAACTGAAGGCTCTACCTCCCATAGTACATTTAGAGACTGTAGGTACCACGAGCAGGCCTGATAACTGAAGGCTCTACCTCCCATAGTACATTTAGAGACTGTACCACGAGCAGGCCTGATAACTGAAGGCTCTACCTCCATAGTACATTTAGAGACCGTAGGTACCACGAGCAGGCCTGATAACTGAAGGCTCTACCTCCATAGTACATTTAGAGACTGTACCACGAGCAGGCTGATAACTGAAGGCTCTACCTCCCATAGTACATTTAGAGACCGTACCACGAGCAGGCCTGATAACTGAAGGCTCTACCTCCCATAGTACATTTAGAGACTGTACCACGAGCAGGCCTGATAACTGAAGGCTCTACCTCCCATAGTACATTTAGAGACTGTAGTACCACGAGCAGGCCTGATAACTGAAGGCACTTCATAGTACATTCAGACCGTACTTAGGCTTGCATTCTGGGAGCGTAATGTTCCTGAAGGGTAATACAGCATTATCAGCTCTTTAAGATAAGATTTTTCCTGATCAGAGCTTTGTAAGAGAGGAAAGGATTTTAAATTATATTCTAGATTTTATTGGGAGCCAGTGCAAAGAAGCCAATAAAAGAGAAATGTGATCCCTTTTCCTAGTTCTTGTCACTACAGCTGCAGCATTTTGTACTATTTGAAGAGTCTTCAGAGACTTACCAAGGTAGCTGTCTAGTGTGCAGCCAGCCTTATTTTATGAAGCCATAAACTCCCACTACATATCTCTTGTTGAGGCCAACAGAGCAGGTACAAACCAGTGAGAGATTAGCACCTCCCCTCTGGCTGGTGAAAAACACAATAAAAATACTTCACATTGCTGCCTTTTCCTAAACCTGAGTTGGTGTTGTGATACTATTTCTAATAAAAACAGTATTATAGCTCTCTCACTTTAAAGAAGGTAATAGAAAAGTTAAGTTGAACTTCCTGAGATTCAAACAGAGTGCAGCAACAGAAAAAAGCCTCTTTGTATTCACACCTCGATGTGAAGCCTAACCACAACGGCACTTGAGTTTCCATGCATGACTTGGTCTTCAGCTGTGACTGTGAATGTGTGTTCATCTGTTTGTTTGTGTGTGTGGACAAAAAGTTGACCACAGGCAGAACACCTAAAAGTTTTAATGCACAGTGAACTAACCACTAGCATGCAAGAAATATCTCCTAAACTGTTTCTGCTTCATGCTTTCTCTCTCTCTCACTTTCTCTCTCTCTTTCTCTCTCTCTCTTTCTCTCTCTCCCTTATAGTCATTTAATTGTAATCAGAGTTACATCAAGCTACAGTTGCAGCTCAATAAAACATTATTTTTTATTATTGAGGGGCAAACTGGACTAGGGGTGACGCATGCTTGAGCAAAGTACAGATTGCCTAGTGTGAGTGCGCCTTCAATAAGGTCAGCTCTCAGATGTTTTCTTCTTTCACTTCTGTACTCGCACCTCAAACCTCACAGCATATCCTGTTGAGGCTCAAAGTGTCTTCTGAGTAAAACGCTTCAGTGGTTGGTCAAAGACAAAGACATGGCCGACCACAGCTCGTGTCAGCGTAGCTCTTGCATGTGGCTGTTTTCGAACATGAACATTAGCCACTTGTAAAAAGTGCTGTGAAACTAACACACAAACTAGTTGTATGTGAGAAAACAATACAGCATCTATATGCATAAAAAGTACGGACACTGATGTTTAGAACAGCAGTTTAGCCATTCCTGATGTTTTTGTTCAACTCTTATCTCGGTGCAAGATGCCAACATGGTGGTGGTGGTGACAGGAGAATGCAGGATGTGATGAGGAGTGGGTTTCTGAGGCTGTCTCTGAACACTGCTGAGCTGGAATGGAGGAGGGTCGCAGCGATCGCACTGAAATGACAGACTGACTGTGAAAGAGAGAGAAGAGGTTTTAAAATCTGACAGCAGCAGGATGATTGGTTGAAAGAGGTTGTGGCAGAGTCGGGTTGGTTGATTACTTACAGAGTAAACGCCCCAAATCAGCTGATCACCAAAGCAGGGAGACGGGGGGAGAGGAAGAGTGGGAGGGGCTACACTGAATGAAGAAAATCAAATGAATGTGAGAGAATATAACCAGTCTTCCTGCTTTACGCTGGGCTCCTTTTAATTGCCAATCACTACTTAGCTGTAATTGGCGGACACATTAGGAATTTAAATTGAAGTTGAAGACAAGTATTTTTTGTTTTTGTGGTGAGCAAGACGAGAGCAAAGAGATTATAATAGCCATAGAGCTCAACAGTAACCGCCCAATGTTTCGGCAGTTCTGGTTCCGGAAGTTAATTTTCCCATTCAAATCCTCTTTTGGATATTTAAGGATTTCACAAAATCCTTATGAATCCTTAGTTTCACAAAATCATTATATCAACAGATTGAAGCCTGTTGCCATGACAACCAGCTACCTCAATGCTCGTGACAATAAAACATTTGATTGGGCAAAAACAAAACAAACGTGAGAAAAGGCAAAGGTTCAAGACTGTGTGCATGACTGAGTTTTTGAATTTCCCTCGGGATCAATAAAGTATCTATCTATCTATCTATCTATCTATCTGTCTGTCTGTCTGTCTGTCTGTCTATCTGTCTATCTATCTGTCTGTCTATCTGTCTATCTATCTATCTGTCTATCTGTCTATCTATCTATCTATCTATCTATCTATCTGTCTATCTATCTATCTATCTGTCTATCTATCTATCTATCTATCTATCTATCTGTCTATCTGTCTATCTATCTATCTATCTATCTATCTATCTATCTATCTGTCTATCTGTCTATCTATCTATCTATCTGTCTATCTATCTATCTATCTATCTATCTATCTATCTATCTATCTATCTATCTATCTGTCTATCTATCTATCTATCTATCTATCTATCTGTCTATCTATCTATCTATCTATCTATCTATCTATCTGTCTATCTATCTGTCTATCTATCTATCTATCTATCTATCTATCTATCTATCTATCTATCTGTCTATCTATCTGTCTATCTATCTATCTATCTATCTATCTATCTATCTATCTATCTATCTATCTATCTGTCTATCTATCTATCTATCTATCTATCTATCTATCTGTCTATCTATCTATCTATCTATCTATCTATCTATCTATCTATCTATCTATCTATCTATCTATCTATCTATCTATCTATCTGTCTATCTATCTATCTATCTATCTATCTATCTATCTATCTATCTATCTATCTGTCTATCTATCTGTCTATCTATCTGTCTATCTATCTGTCTATCTATCTGTCTATCTATCTATCTATCTATCTGTCTGTCTATCTGTCTATCTATCTGTCTATCTATCTATCTATCTATCTGTCTATCTATCTGTCTATCTATCTGTCTATCTATCTATCTGTCTATCTGTCTATCTATCTATCTATCTATCTATCTATCTATCTGTCTGTCTATCTATCTGTCTATCTATCTGTCTATCTATCTGTCTATCTATCTATCTATCTGTCTATCTATCTGTCTATCTATCTATCTATCTGTCTATCTATCTGTCTATCTATCTATCTATCTATCTATCTATCTATCTATCTATCTATCTGTCTATCTATCTATCTGTCTATCTATCTATCTATCTGTCTATCTATCTATCTGTCTATCTATCTATCTATCTGTCTATCTATCTGTCTATCTATCTGTCTATCTGTCTATCTATCTGTCTATCTATCTGTCTATCTATCTATCTGTCTATCTGTCTATCTATCTATCTGTCTATCTGTCTATCTATCTATCTGTCTATCTGTCTATCTATCTATCTCTATCTATCTATCTGTCTGTCTATCTATCTGTCTATCTGTCTATCTATCTATCTGTCTATCTATCTATCTATCTATCAATGAACTAAACATCCCATAATGCATTGAGAATGATTTATGCTTTACTATGCTTACTAAAGAGCATATGGGTGGGGGTCGGAGCAGGTCGTGCTTGAATGAGGACGACACAGTCCGGTGGTGGAGGCTGGGTATTCACAGGAGACACATGTAGCAAGATGTACAAGATAGATGTTGTCATGGTTTCGGTCAAACATCTTTAAAAGATAGAAATTCCTTAAATCAGATTTTTAAATGGTCAAGTTGTCTGATTGGTGAGTCACAGAGCGACGTCCCTGTATATGAGACAGTTGCAGTGGATAGCTACCTCGATTATAAACGATGATCCCCGTTCTTTGCTCAGTGATTTTCAGCTCCTTCTCTCTGGACGGAGGATTTTAGTCCCAAGGTGCAGAACCAACCGAAACAAAAGCAGCTTTGTTCCTGCCGCTATCACAGAAGTGAACAAGCTGTAGTTATATTAGCAAAAACACAAAACAAAACATATTTTTATCCTGGATTATTTGTGTTTTTTATGGACCTTATTGGTTTACACTTCTCTCTCTTCTACGCTCTGATTGGTGGAACCTCGCGCCCTCCTATAATTCTTCTGACTTCTGTAGGTTTTGATCTTGTTTTAGTCGGTTTAAATAGTTCTCCTTCTCTCTAATGTGTTGTTCATTGTTACATCTGTTCTGTCATCTGTGTCATGATGGATGTTGATCTCGCTTGCTGCAAACAAATCTACCTACAGGTACAAATAAAGTCACCTGGACCTGATAAGTAGAAGAACTAAAAAACCAAAAAAAAACTGCACAACCCATTTCCACTGCTTACTCATGAGCGCTTTGCCGACTTAAAAAAAACTCTAAATTTAACTGAAAACGGGACGTGATGATTGGTTTTGCACGACGTGAATTCTTTTTTTTGTCTAAGCCAATCACAACGACTTGTATTTTGTTGACCTTGATCATGGTGTGACGAAATCTTCCATTTGGGTCGGAGACTTCAGTTGTGCAAGACCGAGGTGATATACCACAATGATCGGAAGACTGGCTGCTGTGATTCTTCTCAGTACTTTGTGTGAGTATAAACTTTGTCTCCTTTAAGATGAGTATGTTTGTACTCGATAGTTTCATAGAAAGAGAGGGGAAAAAGACTTCAGGTGACTTACATCAGTGGTGTCCAAATTTTTTTCCTTGCGGGCCAAAATTGTCGTGTTAGAATCGCTCGCGGGCCACAGGTTTTGTTTTTAAAAATATAGTTGAAAAAATAGTTAGGCTTTGTAGATCAGAATCAAAAGGCTCGCTAAAGAAAACCTTTTCCAATCAAATATTTTGATTTCTTCGTTCTACTTTATTTGTTTTTTTCTCAGAATCAAGCCTGTAACGTGGTTCATTTTTTTGGAAAAGCTTTCTGCATTTAGCTCAGGTCATTAAATGTTAAAAAACAGTCCGCTTGTTTGCAAAAACTGTGCATGAGTTTTTTTTCATGGTTTACAAAAAAATGTGGAAAATAGTAAAAGCTGTAGATTTAAAAAAACAACAACATACATGTTACTGAACATTTTCTGTTTTAGGAATATTGTTCAGCCCTTGCTAACATGAAAAAGAAAAATAAGAAAATGTGCCGATCTTAATTGAGGCCTCGGGCCAAAATCTTCTGATTTTTTATTTGAAGTCACGGGCTGCAAAAAATCCCCTCAAGGGGGTCACGTGATGCACGGAGGCGAGAGGACGTAGATTTGTCGTCTCCCCAGCGGGTTGATTCTTAATCAATATTTTACAGTATTTTTTGCCGGTCAACTGATTTCCAAAGTGACGACGGTATTGATAATGTCTGTGGATAACTTTTTCACGTCGTGTGGGTCGGTTAAAAGGAAAGAAACTCGCAGAAGAGGAAAATTAACTGCTAATGCTATGCCTGTTGCTAGCCAAGATAACGAGCATGGTGACTCTGATGATGCAGCACGAGAGGCTAACTTGACTGACAGAGAGGAGATGAACGTGCAATGAGATGACTTGATAGTGGATCGAGTTACCACCAATATAGCCACAATGCTGGACAGTAAGCTAGCTGCTATACTCAAACCGGTTAACGAGCTCTCTCAGAAATTTGACACCTTATTTGAGAGGATCGGCGCTGTTGAGCAACGGGTTTCGGACCTGGAGGATACAATACCGCTGGTCACACCGCGAGTGGATACTCTGGAGACTGCACTGAGAAGAGCAACGGATCGTATTGAAAGCATGGAGAACCAAAGCCGACGGCAGAATGTGAGAATTGTTGGACTTAAGGAAGGCATGGAGGGAAAGGAGTCGGTGGGCTTCTTTGAAAAATGGATCCCAGAAGTTCTGGGCATATTAGGAGAGCGAATCCGGATCGAGAGAGCCCACCGCACCGGTCCTCCGCTGAGGCTTGGCGGCAAAGATGGTCCGAGAGCTGTTTTGGTGAGGCTACACAACTACACCGACAAGCAGAGAATCTTGGATGCGGCAAGGAACAAGGGCAGGATTAAAGTGGAAGGCCAGGACGTATCTTTCTTCCAGGACTTCTCCGCTGAGGTAGTGAAAAGGAGGAAGGAGTCAGCAAGCGCCCGGAGGAGACTACGTGAGGCTGGTATAAGATACTCATTTGTGTATCCTGCCGTGATTAAAATAACCAACATCAATGGGAAGATGATGTCACTCTCCTGCATGGAAGAAATTAATGACTATATTAAAAAACTGCCAGCTCCATAATGAGCTCGGTAAGGGTACGTACATCATCGCATAGGAGTAGGTTGATAAGGTTATTCTAGCTGTGTTGACATTGACCGACCAGGGTTAGATCTTACTATTTGGCTTCTACTGACAACTAGTGGACGAGTCTCCCTTAACATCCGTACACAATAATGAGTCAGTCGTGCCATGTTAAGTTTACGCTGTGAATGCAAATCCTTGAGGAAAACGTCTTTTTGTTAGATGTTATCATTATTGATACTTCTTGTTTTATTGTGGTGGCTTTGATTGCAGATTTACTGGCACCATATTACTACAATCCAGATGGGGAGGATAGTTTGGGTTACCTTTCCTCCTTGTCACCACCCCCCCCAGCTATACTTTTGCAATGCTTGAGTATGACAAGTTTAGACTTATGTTTGTTTTTTCTTTTGTTTTTTCCCAGTTCCCTTTTGGAACTGGACTGTTCAGGATTCTTAGCGTTAGGTTCAGTTTTTGCTTGGAACCATCTCTGTTCTCTTTTGAAGCTCGCACACGATTTAAAGTCATAGATTGGTTAGGATCATATGAAGCAGTTATTGTTGGAACACAACATACATATACGTTTACCAGTTATAAATGAGTATCAAGATATGTACATGGAATATCCGGGGCTCTAATAATGTTGTTAAGAGGAAATCTGTCCTGAATTCGCTTATAAAAGAAAAGATTCAGGTAACATTTCTACAGGAAACGCATCTAACCGATGAGGAACACAAAAAATATCTTAGGGAATGGGTTGGTCAGGTTCACTTTTCATCTTATTCAACAAATAAGAGGGGTGTGATTATATTACTACACAGAAATCTGCCATTTACTGTTACAGCTTCATTCCAAGATACGGAAGGAAGAATTGTTTTAGTTAAAGGGGTATTATTTGGAGAAGATGTTTTGCTGGGAAATATTTATGCCCCTAATGCTCAAGATGGAGCTTTCTTTGCTCTGTTATTTAGTCAGTTGGCTGAAATGGACTGTCCAAATATGATAATAGGAGGAGATTTTAATTGTAGTTTATCTCCGTCATTGGATAGACTTCCACCTCAAAACAGTCAGTCCAGTAATGCACGGGCAGTCCTGAACATTATTAAGGAATTTGATCTTCTAGATGTGTGGAGGCATTTCAATCCTTTGTCAAAAGGCTACACATTTCAATCTCTTCCCCATTCTTCAGCGTCACGTATTGACTATATATTTGTGTCCAAATGTTTATCTCATTTGATAGAACACTCAGATATAGGTCACATCGCTCTCTCAGACCATGCACCTGTCACTATGTTAATGCAACCTCTAAGACCTATTGAACGCTCATTTTCTTGGAAAGTGGATACTTTATTATTCATGGATAGCAACTTTATTACATTTTTGGAAGAACAAACAGACTTATTTTTAGAGTTTAACGATAAAGATGGGGCAGACCCAAGAATTCTGTGGGAGGCATTTAAAGCCTATATGAGAGGTATGATTATTTCATATTCAAGCCGGAAGAAAAAAGAGCGGGTTGCCGAACAAACTAAGATCGAAAATAAAATAAAAAAGCTTGACGAAAACTACTATAGAACTAAATTAGATGAGGTCTTAACTGAACTAAAGGCAACCAGGATAACGTTGCAGAATCTGATAACAAGAAAAGCAGAAAAGGACATTCTCTTTGCCAAACAAAGACTCTTTGAATTTGGCAACAAACCAAACCGCCTACTAGCACGCCTAGCAAAGAATGCCCCAATAAAGAACTTTATCTCAGCTATACAGGACGAAAATAGTCAACGACAAACAAATAACCTTCGGATTAATGATGCATTTAAAAGGTTCTATGAAAAGTTATATAGTTCTGAAAACGATGTGAATAAGCTCGAGGAAGGGTTCTTCTTAAACAGTTTGACAATCCCGCAACTATCAGAAGATCAGGCTAATCTTTTGGAAGGCCCCATCTCCTTATTTGAAATCGATACAGCCATATCCTCACTCCAATCCGGGAAGTCGCCCGGGGCGGACGGATTTCCGGTTGAGTTTTTTAAAACACTAAAAGATAAGATCAATAAATTATTACTTAGAGTTTTCAATACATCTATTGAGGACTCAAAACTCCCAGAATCAATGTGTTTGGCCAATATAACACTTATATTAAAGGAAAAGAAAAATCCAGAACTCTGCTCCTCATACCGACCAATCAGTCTACTTGGAGTGGACACAAAAATGACGTTGTATGCAGATGATGTCCTGTTGACCTTAACAGACCCGAGTGTGTCAGTACCTGCTGTCATAGAATGTGTTAAAGAATTTGGACTAATATCTGGATACAAAGTTAATTTTGACAAATCTGAGATAATGCCCCTGGTGAGCGATAGGCGTGTTGAACCTGATTTTGTTAGACCATTTCGCTGGGCCCCTGATGGTTTCAGCTATCTGGGAATAAAAGACACGCCAAAACTCAATCGACTGTATAGTGAAAACATTTACCCGTTGACTAAGCACTTGAAAGAAAATATGATGAGATGGAGGAATCTGCCCATTTCCTTTCTTGGTAGGATCAATCTCATTAAGATGACTATTCTCCCTAAGATAATTTATCCTGTATCTATGCTTTTGTAATTTTAAGGACAGAAGATATTAGAGATATTAATAAAGCAATATCAGACTTCATTTGGGCAGGAAGGAAACCCAAAATAAAATTAGAGAAGTTACAACTCACTAAAGAAAAAGGTGGGTGGGGTCTACCTAAAGTAGAAAATTATGTTATGTCAATACATGCCAGGATTATTTCTTCATGGGTGGTTGGAAACACTGGGTTGCCTTGGCTTGAAATAGAGGCCATAATGTGTAAACCTTTTTCCCCTATAAATTTATTAGACAAACGACTGAAGGAATTACCAATTCTAGTTAAGGACAACTTGTTAATAACCAATATCATAAGGATGTGGAGAAGCTTAAAGGCAATGTTTAAGGAAAACTGTCCCTTGAATGCACTTACAACATTGGTGGACAATCCAGATTTATCAGTGGAGGGGGCAGGGCCTAACTATAAACAGTGGCAGGAAGCAGGCTTAAAAGGAGTACATGATCTTTGCAGTAATGGGATCTTCAAAACGTTTGACTCTCTGAGAGATCAGTACAATATACCTACCAAGGACTTTTACAAATATCTACAAGTCAGGCACTATGTATTGAAGAAGGCAAATACCCTCAATTTCTTTAGTGGTTCGCATATGCTGGAAAGATTTTTCTTGGATCATACAAAAAATGAACATTTTGTATCAAGGTTTTACTCTGAGCTACAGAATTTGGATGTGGATAAACTTGCTTCCTTAAGAACATCATGGTCGGCGCTGCTGAAGGTGGCTATAGATAAAGATACATGGGAAGAAATTCTGATGTTACCCTCCAAGATTTCAATCTGTAATAGATATAAGGAGATGCAATACAATATCTTGCATAATGTTTATATATCTCCATATGTTTATAATAAGTTCACAGCAGGAGCTTCCCCAATTTGTTCCAAATGCAAAGCTAATACTGGAACTAGAATGCATTGTCTTTGGGAGTGTGAAAAAATTAAATTATTTTGGAAAGCAGTATGTGGAGAAATAGGCACGGTGATAGGACAACAACTGCCTCCTGGCCCACTTCTATGCCTCCTAGGAAGTCTACCGAACATTTTGAAGGAACATAAGGACGTAATCCAATTTCTTTTAATGTTGGCTAGGAAGGCTATAATGACAAAATGGGTTGGGGATGAACCCCTGACTGTTCACTTGTGGAAATCGCTGATATCTGATGTTGTGATGTTAGAAAAGTTAAGATACTGTATTAATGGAAAGACTCATCTCTTTAAAAGGAAATGATAGAAGCTTTGAATCTTCTAAATGTTAAGTGCAACTTATCATAATGATCCCTGAATGATTATCTTGCTATTGTACAACCTCACTGTTAATCACATGTATACTATACTGGTGGATGCTGAATGTGACTACTGGACCAACTATGCAAATATTTTGCTAAAGTGCACTGAGCTGTTATTGTTTTGTATTTGAAAATCAATTAAAACAAATTTTTAAAAAAAAGGGCTGCAAATGGCCCTCGGGCTGACACACATTTTAAATGTCTCTGATGTTTCTCTCACTCTTCAGCTCAAACCATAAAGATGCCTCAACCGATCTCTGTGACTGTGGTTAAACCGGGTGACACTGTGACTCTGGCATGTTTGTTTACCAAAGATGAAGCTGGATTGTTGAACTGGTACAAGATGAAGTTTGGATTCATGGTCCAAACAGTTGCAGCAGGAAGTTTTGACAAAGTTATCCTAGTAGAGCAATTTGACAACTCAAGATTTACCATCACCAAGGAGGGTTATCTGAACTTTCTCATCATCAGAAATGTAAGCAAAGAAGATGAAGCAACGTACTTCTGTCAAGCTGGAACGGCGTACGAAATGAAGGTTATTAACAGCACTCTCTTAGCGGTGAATGGTAAAGTATGCTCATTACAGTTTGTTCTTTGTCTGCATCTGTGCCCCAAATATCATGAGCTAATTCCTGCTTCACTGTGACTCACACAGATCATAAAAACCACCAGAACCTGGTCTATGTGAAACAAAGACCGGAGGCGCAGTCGGTCCAGGCGGGCGGCTCAGTGAAGCTCCAGTGTTCACTTCTCTCCAAGTCCAAAGAAAACAGAGAGCAGTGTCCAGGTGAACACAGTGTGTACTGGTTCAGAGCTGCAGCAGGAGAAGCTCATCCAGCTGTTATTTACACTCAAAGCCACAGAAGTGAAGAAGAAGAGAAGAGAAGCTGTGTCTACAATCTGTCCAAAACCATACACAACTCGTCTGACGCCGGGACGTACTACTGCGCTGTGCTCACATGTGGACAAATCCTGTTTGGTGAAGGAACTACAGTGAAGACAAGTACGTGTTCACACTTCTTTAATATGAATTCCAATCACTGCAGTTCTCTCATTTAAATCGATGTGGAGTCACTGCTAAGATTCTCTGAAAAGGAAAATGACAAATCAGGTTCTAACGAAACCCTAATTTGCTCAAACTTATATTTAAAGGAGCAGTATATAGCTCTGACACCTAGTTTTTAAAATAGGTACTGCAGTCTAAATTCGAAACATTATAGAGAGCTAGTTTGAGCACGTTTCTGCTCGTGGAGCTTATTAGAAACATGCAGAGGCTTTTTAGGTCGGGTACAATCACTTCTATCTGAACCACTTCTCTTGACCGCTTCCATCGCTGCAACACCTGTTGACCTGATAACTGCTCTCATATCTGACAAACCGAGGGGCGTCCAAAACGGTTGTATGGGGGTGTCTTAAAAGCGCCTACCTTCTCTGGTCCAAACAAATCCAGAGCATTCAGGAGCAGAATCTAAAGTTAGAAGGAGGACATACTGGCTGCTGCATTGTTGTCAGAGAAGCCAGCACTTCAACATAGCATGTTTCCTTAATGTCTGATCAGATAGTAAGGTCACTTTATCATCTCACTCACTACACATCTCACTGATTGGACCTTAAAGAGAAAGGGTCATTTGTGTAATAAGGATTTAGTAATTAAAACGTTGCTTATGAACTTTCTCTTTCCTCCATAAATGTGGGAGCATCTGTGATTAAATTGTACCCTTCTCAACATCATCTAAATATAACCAAAATATCACTAAAATCAGTCTCAAATTAGTTACTTAATTACTAATGTTATTAATAATTAATAACTATATTTAATAAATTGAAGGCATGAAAGCTGTGAATGTTCACAAAAAATAGGCAATAATAGTTTAACCATGGTGTTTCCTGCTGTTATTTTAAACATGTGTGGGGAATAATGCGATCTTTATGCCTTCTTTGATTGTGCCTATGTCTCCTCCTAACTTAAATAACAGCAGCCTGTTGTGCGTAACACTGGTATCCTGGGTTAGCACGTTCTTTTCAAAGGTGTTCAATTCAGACACCGTCACAATCATCCCCAGTTTTTGCCAGGCTTGTTCGCAATGCGTGTACTAAAGAGATAAGGTGTAAAAACAGTGTGTGTGTGTGTGTGTGTGTGTGTGTGTGAGAGTGTGTGTGTGTGAGAGTGTGTGTGTGTGTGTGTGTGTGTGTGTGTGTGTGTGTGTGTGTGAGAGTGTGTGTGTGTGTGTGTGTGTGTGTGTGTGTGTGTGTGTGTGTGAGAGTGTGTGTGTGTGTGTGTGTGTGTGTGTGTGTGTGTGTGTGTGTGTGTGTGTGTGTGTGTGTGTGTGAGAGTGTGTGTGTGTGTGTGTGTGTGTGTGTGTGTGTGTGTGAGAGTGTGTGTGTGTGTGTGTGTGTGTGTGTGAGAGTGTGTGTGTGTGTGTGTGTGTGTGTGTGTGAGAGTGTGTGTGTGTGTGTGTGTGTGTGTGAGAGTGTGTGTGTGTGAGAGTGTGTGTGTGTGTGTGTGTGTGTGTGTGTGTGTGTGTGTGTGTGAGAGTGTGTGTGTGTGTGTGTGTGTGTGTGTGTGTGTGTGAGAGAGTGTGTGTGTGTGTGTGTGTGTGTGTGTGAGAGTGTGTGTGTGTGTGTGTGTGTGTGTGTGAGAGTGTGTGTGTGTGTGTGTGTGTGTGTGTGTGTGTGTGTGTGTGAGAGTGTGTGTGTGTGTGTGTGTGTGTGTGTGTGTGTGTGAGAGTGTGTGTGTGTGTGTGTGTGTGTGTGTGAGAGTGTGTGTGTGTGTGTGTGTGTGTGTGTGTGTGTGTGTGTGTGTGTGTGTGTGTGTGTGGAGGTCTATTAAAAAGCAGGTCTCTTTCAGTGTTTAATGTATAGATGTATTTAAAATAGTTTGAAACCTTCGTGGTCAAGTTATGGTGACGGCAGCGAGGAAGAAGTGGCACACACAAGCTGTTCACATCTTTGTTTTGTGATTGGCTTCCTGTCTCGTGGTCTCTGTTTCTAGATAAAGAAAGCGACACGTCTTTTATTCTTTCATTACAACCGCACTGCCATTTCTTGTTTCATGGGTTTCATCGCAGAGCATCTCAGCTCGGCTGCCTTTAACCACACACGATGAATACAAAGATAACAAAACCTGTGGGGAAGAAATAAATCATAGACGTTTTAAATACTCCTTTAAACCCACATAATACTTTGTTTCATTTATCACAGGGTTTCCAAATATCACCAATCAATCTTTATTTGTAATGCGACCCATCTAACCGAGACCAAGACATACCCGAGACCAGACCAAGACATTTAGGGATCAAGACTGACACAAGACCAACACCAAACATATCACTAAAACAAAGTGATGGAATATTCGATCAGGACTCTGCATATTTTGTTTTGTTTTGAAATTGACCAGACGCTCTTGTCTGACTTCCTGTCCTGGTCATTCGATTCTGTCCAGCTTGGAGACGGACCACGGCGCTCGCTGTGGAAACATGAGCTTTGACTACAGCGGTGCAGCACTGCTGGATTGTGGTGCACGGACTATGTGGAAGTTGGCAGTAAATGTTATATACAGCTTTATACATTCTTGCAAATATATGCTATAAGTAGGGGGGGTTAGGGGGGCAATAAAACTTCCTCTTTGGGCCCCACTTTGGCCAGGGGCGGCCCTGCTCGTAGCCGTGCTTACTGCTATCACAAAATGCATTTCTTTACTTTCATATAGTCGCTCATGTACAGCACCTGCTTCAAGCCAAACATTTAAACAAACAAAAGAAAAAGAAAAAACCATCATTAACCTTCGGCTTTCAGGATAACATCAGCGATCACACACTGAGCTACATAAAGGCTAACGACCCGTCTAAAAAGCTAATCGAACCCCGGCGCCTTGACAGCGTAGATTCTCTCTCTGTCTTGTTTCATGTCCCTTCTTCCACCATTGCCAGTTTTCACCACGGTAAAGAGGACAGTCGAATAAATCCAGGTGTCTTCATCGTCTCTCTGCGGAAACATTTCATGAATTATGTAGGATTTACAAATATGAATCTCATTTGCTCTTTTTTTTTAAAAAGGTTCATCTCACCTTTAACTTCCTGTTTGTAACATTTTCCTGCAGAGCAGCAGCAGCAGCTGCAACATGATAGAAAACAAAGGATTTAAAATAAAGGTCAGGATGCAATGAGTTAATAATCACAGATAGGTTCTAACACTAAAGATAGAACTGCGCTACAGTGAAACTAACTCCTCGATGATTACCTGCATCGTTGCAGTTATCACATCTGTGTTTCTTGATGCCGTAGATGAGGAGGGCCATGACGGTCACACTGATGACCAGGACAGCAGACAGCAGACACAGAATGATGGCGTCTTTCATTAACTCAAAGGACCACAAACTGCTGCCTGAAACATTCAAGGAAACACACAATGACAATTAGTCAAAGTTAGAGAAACTATAAATTCAATGAAAGAGGATTTTTTTTTAGCTCACATTTGATCTGTGTGGGTTGACAGAGATTAGCCTACAAACTTTTGCTATTAGGTGAAATGTCTCTCAAACTCACTCGCAAAACATTTCTACCTGACGGGGATGGCAGTCTTACGGACATAGACATGAGGGTTTAGGTTTTCAACAGTCTCAAGGGCCTTCCAGATGAGATGCAGTGTGGAGTAGGAGGAGGGAGCGCACACAAGCCAAAAGCAACAGCGTACGTTACGAGGTAAACAAACAATAGTTTGGAAAATATCTACTCTTTGGACGCACATTATGTTTTTATGTGTACATTCTTAAGTAAAAAGTTCTGACCTTTCTCCTGCTGAGGAGGAGGAGACGAGCAGCGAAAAGAAGAGGGCGTGGCTTCATGAAATCATCAGGGCACGACAGGATGCTTCACGAATATGACACACATTTCTACAATTCTACTACAATTCTACAATTCACTTAGCAGACTCTTTTATCCAAAGCGACGTACATCAGAGAGTAAGAACAACACAAGCAAGGATCTATAAAAAAGGGAACAATGTCAGTAAGAGCAAACGATCAGCTTTGAGTCTGATTGGACACACAGGTGCTGACAGGAAGTGACCAGAGGCAAAGCACAACATTGAGGGCAGTTCTTGAGAGCTCTAATCAGTATAGAAACCATCTTATAAGTCGTCGTTCTCAAACAAAAACCATCGTCATTACCATCATCATCATCAATAATATGGAGACCATCATCATTAAGTTAGTAGGTATTCATGAAAGAGCTGGGTCTTTAGCTTTTTCTTAAAGGTGCAGAGGGACTCTGCAGATCACATGGAGTTTGGAAGTTCGTTCCACCACCGGGGGGCGACAGAGGAGAAGAGTCTAGTCAGCATTTCTGCTGCTGTTTTAAAACATCGCTGATCTGAATGTTTGAACTCTGAGTGACGTCACCAGTCTGTTCCTGCAGGGGGCGCTGGAGTCCCATCGATGGCGGTCTCCATGCTGGAAATGCTGTCTCAGTCTAACTTTCAGTCAACCTAACGACAGGCTGAGAGCTGGAGCTGAGGCGGGTTTTAAACCTCCTGACAAACCGTTACACCGCGCCCACCTGTCAATCAGGTCAGCTACACGCCTTATTGTGAATAACTCTTATCCTTCATCAAATCAAAACTGATGAGTCATCAAAACATTCACCCCCCGTACAGTGTGTGTCCATCCAGACATGAGCTAATCACACCTATTTGGTTTATTGAACCAGGCTGTAAACATGTTCATCTCTGCTGTAAAAACAGGCTTTTTAGAATGGGTGTGTATGTGACTTCCTGTGCTTCTGCAGCCAGCCTCTAGTGGACACTCTGTCAATTTTGCAGAATAAGATGATTCAAACCTTAAAAGCATTTGAGTCGGCTATAAGAGTAGAATAGTTGACTAACAGAATAATAATATTTTTACCCTCACCTTCCAGTTTGGTTCTGTTGTCAGATAAAACCTCTCCACATGTAGCCATGGCGCAGTAAAACGTGCCATCGTCTGCGGAGCGGGCGTTCTTAGAGAAGTGGTAGATACAGGTCTTTGGAGTCGGATGCTCTTCAGATTTATTGTCACATTTATCACCTCTGTTTCCATCAGTGTACATGATGTTAGCACGTGATTCATCTGATCGCACTCCAATCAGGTGCACGCTGTGCTCACTTGGACAGGTCGTTTTCTGGGAGTCGGAGAGGACTGAACATCGCAGAGTTATCGAGTCTGCTGCACGGACAGAGTGAGAAACTGTCGGCCACTGAGCCACAGTGATGTCTGTTATCCTCTCAGCGTTTCCTACAAACACAGAAGATTGTAAAGTGTCAAAGATTGTCCAGATCGTTAAGTTTGAGAAGCAGAGTTGGAACATAAAAATGACAAAAGGAGGTCATAACAATGTTGAAATTGTAAGCGGACAAAGTGTCCTGCTTCTAAAATCAGATCCAATCCAAGTGATTTTATGAAGTACATTTAGAATTAACAACAGGTGACAGAAGAGCTGCACACTCAAACGTAATCAAAACGTGTAAAACGCAGATGTAAAATTAGCAGGACATGAAAAGTTTAAAGGGTTAATAGAAAATAAGAAGGGATAAAAGCAAACGCTCGAGCAGATCAGGGGGAGCCAGACCGTTAAAGATTCATGAGTCAGTATTCAAATCTTAAAATCAGCCGGTGAAGTTAAACTGAAAATGAGTTGGGGGGCCGGTAGCCTAGTGGCACCCCATGTACGAAGGCTATAGTCCTCCAAGCATGCTGCCTGGGTTCGAATGTCATTCCCCACTCTCTGTCTCTCTCTCTCTCTCTCTCTTCTCTCTCTCTCTCTCTCTCTCTCTCTCTCTCTCTCTCTGTCTCTCTCTCTGTCTCTGTCTCTCTCTCTGTCTCTCTGTCTGTCTCTCTCTGTCTCTCTCTCTCTGTCTCTCTCTCTCTCTCTCTGTCTCTCTCTCTCTCTCTCTCTCCCTGTCTCTCTCTCTCTGTCTCTCTCTCTCTCTCTCTCTCTCTCTCTGTCTCTCTCTGCCTCTCTCTCTCTGTCTCTCTCTCTCTCTCTCTCTCTCTCTCTCTCTGCCTCTCTCTCTCTCTCTCTCTCTCTCTCCACCAATTCTGACTCCATCCACTGTCCTGTCTCCAAAATAAATTTATAATAAAAAGTCTAAAATAAACCTTACTAAGAAAAAAAAGAACAATACATTGAGTATCAAAGAAACAGACATGCTTTACCTTTTATAGACAAATACGTCCCACTCCAATGATCCTTGTTCCAGGTAGAGATGGCACAGTGGTACACCGCCTCGTCCTCCGGCACCGTCTTCAGAATGGTCAGAGAGCACATGGTCGCAGTGAAGTTCACCTCAAATCGGTACGAAGGAAACGATTTTTCAAAATTGGAATTTGCAGCCCCTTTCATCAGAGAAGTGATCAGCACAAGCGTGTCACCGACGCTCTGCTTGTACCACTTCACTCGAGTGTTGCTGTACTCAAAATCAGGCATCGGACACGTCAAAGTGCCGGGTTCCCCGAGTCCAAACGATGTCACTGAGATCAGAGCATCTGGATGAAAAGACAAAGAGAAGCGATCGTTACAACAGGACTTCAGGTACATGTCATACACACGCTCAAGAGAAAGGTGGCAACAATTTTATACCTTTAAGAAATGATTCATATATGTTTTTACACTCACATCCTGGATGAAGAAGAAGAAGAAGAAGAAGAAGAAGGAGAGGTAGAATCGCTGAAAAGCTCATCGTGATGTTTTCGTTGATTTCGATTGCTGAAGAGTGATGAGAGGATTTAAGGGGATGCTGGGCGTCTTAAGGTTCACTTCCTGTCTCGCTGTTCTGCAGAAATCTCACCGCAGAGGTTTTTGTGGTCAGTTGGAATAGAAGAGGGTCTTTTTTCTCTTGTTTGCATCCTCAGTAATCTGATTTTTTACACTAAAGTATCTCAATAAAATAATTTGTACGTTGAGTACTTACATCACCTGTAATATTTCCAACAGTCATCAAAGGAAGAGAAATCTTTTAATTTTAGAGCTGTAATAGGACGTGTGTTGCCATCACCGCTGCCATGACAGACATGACATGTTAACCGTTGCCGTGGAAACAGATCGCTGCATAATGAAGCGTGAGCTGCTACTGAAAGCTGTCGTACTGTCGCTGTTGGAGCTGCTGTGATAAAAACCTCATGTAGATTATACTCGGATACATCAGCTCGTCTGTAACCATGTTCTCTTCATCAGGTCGGTTTCACCTGGTCGTCATGACTACGGTCAACTCAGAGGTTGTTTTCATTGGAACAAATAGTTGTTCACCTGCAACTGTAGTGGAGACACAACTTGTAAAGTGATGGACCAGGCAGTGTTAAACCACGGTGTGTTGAAAGGAAGACGCTGCTCTTTAACCACTTCCACTAAGGAAATGGCCGTACGTATAAAGTAGGATGCACACACGAGAAACACACCGAGAAATGAGGAGAAAACCAAAACTCGTGCTCGCATGGTCTATTGTTACCATGGTTACCGGAAATGCCAAATGGAGGATTTTTGCAGAGGAGTTTGTAGTTCTTAAGAGGTTGTTGACACATTTCTGTGGAGAGGAGCTCAAAGAGTCTCCCGACATCCATCAGAACTGTTCTGACGAGCGTAAGGGTGGCTTCACACTCGGGCCCCCGACCCGGATCCGAGAACACTTGACCCCGACATCTGGTTAATTTGATCAGCGTGAACACAAACGTACCGAACTCCGGTACTGTGCCCGAGTCCAGTTGAAGAGGTGGTCTCGGTCACGATTCATGTGTACTCGCGTACGGTCTGCAGGGAGCTGAGAACATGATGTGGATTCCCTTGTTGTTGATATGTTTGATGATGAAGAAATTCGCTGTTGACACTGACTTGCTTACATAATGATCATTTTATTGACAAACAAGTTACAGCATCGCCAGGCTCGCCATGGTTCGACCTGGAGAGACACAGCCAAAAGTGATCTCCCCCGAACACACAGAAACTCTGGTACTTATGGACACACCCCACAGGAGAACAACATGGGACATCTGTTTGTTTTCAGGACAACCCCTCTTCCTACAACTGTGGGGGTTTCTGTCTTAGATATATGTATGTCATAAACTCAAAGGACAACACAGGTCACAGATACAATCTCTTGTCCAGATGTCCCTGGGCAACTCTCTGGACACAGGACCCCATTGTACACATTCCACTGAGAGGGCTCCTGTCTTAGATTTAGGATTTCCGGGTAACTCAAAGAACATTAGCGGTCTCAAATATAATTACCGTATTTTCCGCACTATAAGGCGCACCGGATTATAAGGCGCACCTTCAATGAATGGCCTATTTAGAACTGTTTTCATATATAGGGCGCACCGGATTATAAGGCGCATAGAATAGAACGTGTTTACAACTGAACAAGGCTGGGACAAAAACAACGTATAAAACTACAAAAACAAAAGTACATAAGACGATTTCCCCAAATAATAAATTATTTCTTTGACGTTTCTCTTAACTCTCAAAACGTAGTTTTATACGTAGTGCATTCACAATAACTCAACATTGTTCAAACGTTAATGTGCATATTCACAATATCTCCCAGCCTTGTTCAGTTGTAAACACGTAAAAGAAACACAGTCTGATACCGCTAATTCAAACGTTAGTGCAGGGGTGCCCAAACAGTCGATCGCGATCGACAGGTAGATCGCTGACTGATTCTCAGTCCATCAGATGTTTAGTCAATATAAAATACAATTGTAAAATAGAAAAGTGATTTCAATTTCATCTCATTGCACTGTTTCCACACACGATACCTGTGTTGGGAGCCCAAGTATACTTCCGACCTGTGTGTATTTAATTTTTCATTTATTCATGAAATTGCTGCGTGCATGAGAGAGCGAGCGAGAGAGCGAGCGGGGAGCGAGAGAGAGAGAGAGCGCGCGCAAGAGAGAGTGCAGGCATGCGCAATGACGTGCAGGTAAAACCGGGGGGCTAAATGTTTTACCAAAAAGTCATATATAGAAACTATGCTACGAGTATTAAGCGCATTTGATGAAGCTGCAGCTACTCTCCTCTCTGCTGTCATGACTGTGAGCATCGCGGGGGCACGAGACACACCAACACACGCACAACAACACACACACACACACACACACACACACACACACACACACACCACACTTGCACTGGAGCGCCAGCCACCACGCGAACCTTTTTACTTTTTACTTTTAGTGCTACAGCACACAGTTGATCCGTGATCCGTACGGACCGAGGTGGGAACACACGTGACCCGGTCAAACAGTCGTTGGACTTTACTCCGTTCACTCTCACCGTGTCTGCAGCTAATTTAACAAAAGCAAAATCATCTCACAGCAGCCTGCTGCTGTAGTCTGCATTATTTTTTACAGAACTCTCATTTATTATTTTCTGTTTGTTGTGTGAGTATTAAATGCGTTTGTAGGCTGTTGGTAAAGGCTATGGCTCACTATGTGGACTGGTAGATCTCGCAGACTGGGAACTTTAAAAGTAGATCTTGGTTCAAAAAAGGTTGGGCACCCCTGCGTTAGTGCATAACTCAACATTGTTCAGTTACGTATAACACGTAAAGCTCACTTTTCAGTTCATTCCCCGTCCACGAATCCCTCGAATTCTTCTTCTTCAGTGTCCGAATTGAACAGTTGGGCGAGTACGGCATCCAACATGCCCGGCTCCTCTCGTCATTATCCGAGTCAGTGTCGCTGAGCGCCGTGTACAACCAGTATGGATCAACCAATTAACCAATTGATCCATATATAAGGCGCTCCGGATTATAAGGCGCACTGTCGTTTTTTGAGAAAATTAAAGGCTTTTAAGTGCGCCTTATAGTGCGGAAAATACGGTACTACAAACTGTCGTTTTGCACATTCTTAATAAGAAACAGCGCTGACCTAATTTCCACATATGTCAGACACTTCAAACACAAGCGTGCTCAAACTAGGAAGTGGACCGCTTTATGACGTCATTCTAAATGACTCCTGTTGCTTTGAAAAAAGGTCGTATCGTGCAGCACGGGCCCGTTTCATCCTCTGAGCTGCACGGTAGATGTTGAAGCAGGAAGAGGGTCATTTCTGAGGCGTCTCAGAAATAACAAAAACAGCCACAGTTAGCAGATGGACTCAGCCCGTGAGTGGTTGCCATGGTTACTTCTTCTTTATTTTCTTTATTTTGATTTATTTTATTGCACTTAAAACACAAAACAAAAAACAAACATAATAGATCAATGAAAGAACAGACAGTACATAATGATTAGTTAATTAACAAAATATACATTTTGAAAGAAATGTGCTGGAGAAGCCAAATAAACCCAGAGGGCTACACTATCGACACTAATGTGGTTTATGTTTGTGAGTATGCTAGTGTTTGAAGATGCTCGATAAGCAAAGAGATTTCTAACAAGAGTTCAAAAGATTTCCCCCCTTATTCGGAAAAATGTAAAACAGC